TGGCTGGAGCTATGCAGTGAGCTAGAATAAATATTATGCAGTGAATATCAAGGAATTCAGTCATGCTAAAAAACAAAGAAACGGGGCAAAAGAGCCAATTTATACTGAACCTGTTGAATTCAGCTATGAACTGAAAAATATTCGATTGATTTCTCTTATTCTACTTCACTGCACAGATATATGTTGTAAATCATTGTGCAAAATTTCAGTTCAAAGTGTACGCTGAGAAATACGTTATGAAAGTTTGCGTCACAACATTTGGAGCAAATTGTTATTTTCAGAAAAACGTAAACAAAGATTTCCGAGCTTGTAAAAAGGGTCACAATCTTGGCATGCAGGCCTAAAATGCACCAGATTCATAGCTGGACCCTTCTGCGGAAGCATTATTGACTCCTTTTGTTCGGGTGGCTGCTGGTCTTTTCTTCCTGGCCAGTTTTGTCCCATCCGCTAACTTGCGTTTAGCCTTGTGCATGCGCAGGTGATCACTGTAGACAGTTTTAACTTTGTTGAGCACATCATTGGAAGTCCTCCTTTGTGTACCTATTTCCCTTGGCCGAGTGCTTCGACCTTTTGGTATCCGCACAAGCTTTTCGGTCCAAGTGGACACAGGCTGTCTCAGCTGCTTGTCGCTAGAGCTGCAATGAAAAAGACTGGCAAGGGTAGCTTTTTCGTTGCAGAAAGGTTCCCCACATAAGCCCTAATGGTGATGCCATAGTATATTTGCAGGCGGTCAATGAGGGCATCAGTGAGCTTTCCCTTACCACCGGGTCCACGCACTGTCTTCTTCAGTTTTCTGAGGCGGCAGCCAACACGCTTCTGGACATGCCCAATACATTCCAGTTTCTGCACTGTCCTTTCCATACATGTCTTTGACAGCAGCATAGCTCTTGGAATCACCATCGCCGTAGTACTTCAGGTACTTCAAATCTCCTTTGCCTTTCGACCTTTCAAATATTCGGTATAGACCAACAGTCTCCATACTGCCACCACTTCCTTCATAGTTTACTTGACAGGAAGTGTGGTTCGCCTTCCATTCCTCGTACGAAGCATTTGCCTCAACTTGCTTTTGGTTTTACAAGACTTACACGAACTAGATAGGGCCTCACACATCAATAACGTTTCCCGTGTCAACAGAAATCACGGACACACAACCGTTCAAAGATGAATGGCCACGCTTCTGCCACGTGCCATCACCTGAAACACCACTCTGGGCACTCCCCACAACACGACGAACTTCCACGGCAGCATCAGTCATCGACTTCGACGCCACTTCTCCTGCCGCTGCAGAAAGCTGAGATGACATTTGTCGTAGACGGAGTGACGTGGAGGAGTAGGCATGTTCATCACTTTACAAAAGTTTTCACACCAGCATGCCCTTTTTGTAACTGGCGCATCACGTAAACCAGACGTAAATTGTTCTCATGGGCACGACCCACGTTTCTGGACGTATGAAAGGAGCGCTTGAACCCATAGTCAGTACACACGACCGCACAACCCGAGCATATCCCTTGGTGAGAGCGTTGCTCGAGCTGCAGTGTTGTGTTCATGCATTCGGAACATGCCAGCGATGAAAACACTGAAGAAAAAATACCAATGTCTATTATTCTGTTCCCTTGGAGCGCAGATTTCTCTAGTGGAGCCTGGTACGCCTTGTTTATGTCCCCAAGCTTTTCCGCGGTCGCCGAAATACCGGTGTCTGTGTCAATAGGCAGCCTCGTCGTCGTGTAGCGATTTCCGGCAAACTTACGCTTCCGTCTTCAGTGTTCTGCACTTCCCCATGCTGGTCGTAATGTGGTCCATGTGGCCTAACGATACAGCCCTAGTAGCGTTGACACGTGGAACAAATGCAGAACGAAGCCTGACGAAGCCTGACGAAGGCAAACAACAAACATTCCGACGAACATCGTGCGTCCCCATTGTGGCTGTTGTCAGAGAATAAGGAAGACATTTAAACACGAAGTTGTATTTAATGACATCATATTATATAACAACCACAATAAAATGCATAAAGTATTTTTAAGAGCAATAATGTAGATGAAACAACACTTGCTTTTGAATGCTATTTTTTTAAAACCAAAACCACAGTTGGAAATGTGGTTTCGGTTTTGCTATAGGAGCATAGGGTATAAAAAACTTGCTGTAACTCGCAAAGTGATGACGCTAGGAGGATAATTTTTGTTGCAACATATAAGTGAATGTTTGGGCGTGCAAAAAAATAAAACTCTGAAAGTTTTTTTGCGAAAAAGAATGACTTCTGAAGGTGACCTACCGCCTTAAGAAACCCAATTCGTTCAAGGATGGTGAATAAATGCGGGCTCCTATGTGAAACCCATATAACAGATATAGCGTAATTAAAATAGAACGAAGTCTTGCAAATATTGAAATACCAGGGCTGAATTAGCTCAGAGTTCCCATGAGTGTTCACCAGTGATCGTCAAAACAAGAAATGCATTTTTTAAAGAGCGCGAGGGGCATGTAGAAATTATGTCATTGGGGAATTCGCCGTAGCAGCTTTCAAAGCACTAAAGCTCTTATTTTATTTATTCCACAAAATCAACATGACCTCTCTCACAAAAATTAGAAACGAACTAGAAACGTTGCAACAAACTCTCACTTGAGTTAACTTCAAGGTACCCCGCCGCGGTGGTCTAGTGGCTAAAGTTCTCGGCTTCTGACCCGCAAGTCACGGGATCGAATCCCACCTGTAGCAGCTGCAATTTTGATGGAGGCGGAAATATTGTAGGTTTGTGTTCTCAATTTTTGGTGCACGTTAAAGAACACCAGGAAGTCGAAATTTCCGGTGCCCCGTACTACTGCGTCTCTCATATTCATATGGTGGTTTTGGGGCGCTAAATTTCACATATCAATCAATTAAATTCAAGGTACCCAAGTGAATAGTTTACCTAACTGAAAGTCCGCGGAACAGAATATTCGCTAGAACAAGGAACATCACTGGGCGCAGCAGATATGGAGTGAAACGTGTAACGTGAAAATAATTTTGGGAGTAATTTTTTTCTTTGAAATGGCGCCCCGACAGGTCTAAGAAGAGGCAAAGCTGCTCAGAGAGGGTGTTGATTATTTTTCACGTTCTGGGCTGGGACAAGGAAACGAGAAAGAAGAAGCGCGAGCGAGGGACGCGGGGACGCTCAAGTGACAGCAGAGCGCTTCCGAACGCAGTTAAATAAACAAGTATTTTTGCCTTATACCTTAAAGACGGAGTTGAGTCTGATCGCAGTGTCTGGAACGCCATCGTCTAAACATTGGTGCCGAAGGTGGCACGAAAAAATGAGCTCTCAGCGCTTGTACGTGATCCAGTCTCTCACCGTACCTTTTCTTGGACTGCCGGCGCTTCAAGCTCTGAAAGTTGTAAAGTTTCTCGACGAACTTCAGACTCCGAAAGCAACATTGCGTGCTGAGCTCTGCCAGGGATTGGGCACCCTCAAGGACGAGTACACTATCCTTCTGAGACCTGGCGCCGTACCCTTCTCCCTAAGTGTGCCTCGCAGGATTCCCATCCCGCTACGCGGGGTCGTCCGTCACGAGCTTGACAAACTGGAGGAAGGAGGCGTGATCCGCAGGGTCGACAACCCAACCCCGTGGTGCTCTGGTCTCGTTGTAGTACGGAAAGCCCATGGTTCCTACCGGCTGTGCGTTGACTTGACTCAGCTGAACAAGGTGGTCCTTCGGGAACGCCACATCCTACCAACTGTAGAGCAAGTCCTTGGCCTCCTTGGCGACGCAACAGTTTTCTCCAAGCTGGATGCAACAGCCAGTTTTCATCAGGTTAAGCTATCTGCAGACTCCCAAGAGCTCACAACGTTCATCACCCCATTTGGCCGATACTGCTTCTGCCGGCTCCCCTTTGGCATCACCTCCGCGCCGGAGTACTTCCAAAAACAGATGGCCAGGATCCTGGAGGGCCAGGAAGGAGTCGCCAATATGATAGACGACATTCTGGTCTTTGGGCGCACCCGCGAGGAGCACGATGCCAGACTGAGCCAGGTGCTGTCTCGCCTTGCAAAAGCAGGCATCACGTTGAACCAAGACAAGTGTCGTTTTGGTGTCTCCGAAGTCTCCTTCCTAAAAGTCCTCGTTTCAGCACAAGGCATCAGGCCAAGTCCAGACAAGGACGAAGCAATCAAAGCCATGGAGGCTCCAACCGACATCGCAGGTGTCCGGCGACTGCTCGGAATGGTGAATCATCTTGCCCGGTTTTCGCCTTGCATCTCAGAGGTCACAGCTCCCATCAGAGCACTTCTAAACAAGTCTGCGACTTGGGTGTGGCAGCATGAACAAAATGCTGCATTCGAGAAAATCAAAGAACTCCTGACATCAGACCATTGCATGGTCAAGTACCATCCATCATACGCCACCACAGTTTCGGCTGACGCAAGCTCATTCGGACTGGGCGCAGTCTTGCTGCAGACACGGCCCTCTGGAGAGCGCCACCCAGTTGCGTTTGCTTCAAGATCAATGACCGAGACAGAGCAGCGTTACAGCCAGACAGAAAAGGAAGCGTTGGCAACAACATGGGCTATCCAACGGTTTGACAAATTCGTCCGCAGCATCACCTTTGATGTTGAGACAGATCACCTACCACTCGTTTCTCTCTTCGGCAAAATGGAGCTGGACATGCTGCCGCCTCGCATACAGAGGCTCAGGTTAAAGACCATGCGATACCAGTTCCGAATGCTCCACGTGCCAGGAAAGCTGTTAGCTACGGCAGATACCTTGTCACGCATCACCCAAAAGGCGTCCCTAACCCTGGACACCGTGGAATTGTTTGTAGCTCAAGTGGTCAGCGGCATGTCAGAAGCCTTGCCACTAAGCCCAAGGACGTGCGACAAGCACAAGAGTCTGATGGCGAATGCAGAGCCCTCACCTCCTTCTGCCAGAATGGTTGGCCACAGAAGTCCAAACTGCCACTGCACCTCTCCCAGTATGCCTCAGCAGCAGACGAGCTCTCTGTCTGCGACGGTGTTCTACTGAAAGGCGCCAGGATGGTCATCCTGCATTCTCTTCGGCCGGCAGTTTTGACGCTGTTGCACGAAAGACACCAAGGCATCAACAGGACGAAAGCTCTCGCTCGAGAGTCCATTTGGTGGCCTGGCATTTTGGCAGACATTACTTCTCTGGTAACTAACTGCGAGCAATGTGCTTCCACTCGGGTGAACCTTGCAGAGCCCCTGGTCTCCACGGTCCTACCTGGACGTCCCTGGGAACTTGTCGGCATGAACCTGTTGCACCTCCGCAGCCAGACATTCATCTTCGTGGTGGACTACCACTCCAGGTACCCTGAAATTGTAACCTTGAGAAGCACAACGGCTCAGGCAGTCATCGACGTTCTCAAAAGCATCTTTGCTCGGCATGGGATTCCGCGAGAAGTGAGATCAGACAACGGTCCACCGTTCTCTTCACGCGAGTTTGCAGCATTGGCGGCATCTTACGGCCTTGACTACGTCACCAGCAGCCCGCACTATGCGCAATCGAACGGAGAGGCGGAGAGAATGGTCAGGACCATCAATGAGTTGTTTCGCAAAGCAACAGACCCTCGCCTGGCCTTGCTCAGCTACCGGGACACCCCAGGAGTCAATGGCTTCAGCCCGGCCCAGCTCTTGATGGGATGACAACTCCGAACCAAAGTGCCGAAACATGACTCCCAGTTATGTCCTCACTGGCCATCGAGGAAAGACATGAGGAGAAATGATGCAGCCTACAAGCAGAAACAGGCCGCTGACTTTAATAGGCATCACAGAGCTCAAGATCTGTCATCGCTCCGAACAGGCCAGTGTGTCTGGGTACGACCTGATCAGGTCAAAGCTACAGTGCTTAGCCCAGCACGCCGACCACGAAGTTATGTCGTGGAAACGGAGCAGGGTGGCGTCCTACAACGCAACCAGCGTCACCTAGTGCCTTTTGCACCTCCTGCGCCAAAAGTGGAACCACTGCCGTCTGAGGAGCAGGAGCCACAGCGAACACTGCCCCCTCTGGAACCCCAGTGAACTACTACAGTGCAACCACCCGATTCCCTTGGACTGCCCCCTGCTGACGGTGACCGCAGTGATGGTGTGACACGAACACGTAGTGGCCGCCGTGTTGTGCCTCCGAACCGCCTGAACTTGTGATGTGCAGTGTCTGGCGTCCTCCGTCTTCCCTCTGGTCTTCAAGGGGGGAGATGTAGAGGTCACCACCCTTCAGTCATTTAGTTCGGCTGCCACTAGCATGTGGCGCCCCTGAGATTGTATATATTCTGCCCCGAATAAAGTGGAGGCCCCTTTTTTTTAGTTGAGCAGCTGTCGTGCTTATCGTCTCTCTCCGCGGGCACGGGCCGCTCGTGCTCCGGCACGCTCGCGCGGCACCAGTCACAAGACACCGAAGAACTGGTATTGAAAACCAGGACCCTACGGACGGCTACCAGTCAACTGCAGCGGCATGGAGCGTCTGAAGTCGAAGCGGACGTCGCGGCGAGTACAGAACACGAGGATTATAAACGAGGCAAGTGAGCTCCTCGCTAACGACTCTGTCTCCTATGACCAGCTCAACTTCATATGAGAGGCTGAAGGCTAATAACGAAGAGCTTAAAAACCTGAACAACAAGATTGAGCCGCATATACCTGACGAGGAGTTCGAGGTCGAGTATAACGCTGTCTTACAATACGAGGACGTTGCTACGCGCATTCTCGCTGATATTCTCAGCAAGAAAGATTGCATGCTAAGGACATCGACCGGAACTCAAGAAACAGTTGCCCAGACAGTCGTAGCACCATCAGACGGAACTGGAGTTAAATTGCCTAAACTGACAATAGCTCCTTTTTTTGGAGACCTATGCAAGTGGACCAAATTTTGGGAACAATTTTACGAAATTGTTCATAGTAACAATCGCATCACTGCCACAGAGAAGTTTCATTACCTGCGACCGTATCTTAAAGGAGACGCTGCATCAGTAATTGCGGGCCTTCCGACGACAGAAAGTTGCTACAGTGACGCCATCAAAATGCTACAGAAGCGATTTGGGGACAACGCGCCTGGAGCAAGAATATTTTGCCAAGCTACGGATGTTAAGCCCTGTCCGTTCATCGACTGACACCAAAGCGCTGCGCAGCTTGTACGACCAAGTTCTCGTGAATATCCGAGGCTTAGAGACTTTGGGTGTGCACAAGTCGTCATTTTCGTCAATGCTGTGCGACATCCTACTGCGTGCTCTTCCACGGGATATAGTCGTGCAGTATCATCGATCATGTGCCGTCCAGTTGACATATGACTCGAGAGCTGAAGCTACACCCGTGGGACTGGACCGTGTGCTCAGCTTCCTGTGTATCGAGCTGGAAAGTCTGGAGAAGAGTGATTTTAAGGATGCCAAAGGACGAGAACATGGAACACTCCCCGTGGCCAGTCAGTCGACGTACTCTCGGCGTGGGAAACCGACGTCATCTGTGCTTCACAGCAACTCGGTACGATAAAAAAAGGACAACTGCGTATTCTGCTCGTCCAGCCATCACGGATCGGAAGCCTGCACAGCTGACTTGTCACTGACGCAGAAGAAGGAACTGCTTTCCAACGACAAAAGGTGTTTCCGCTGCACCACCAAAGGAAATCGGGCACGGGACTGCAAAAAGGGATTTCCTGCTCCAAATGCCAAGCTCGACACGCTACAAGCATGTGCGATCCCGATAGGTGTTCGCGAAAGTCAGACTATGCTAACAAGAACTGCGAAAGAACTACGACAGTCTATGCATCGCTTGGAAGAAGACCCGTCAAGGAAGACTCTACCACTTCCGTTTTTCTTCAGACTTTCAGAGCATGGGCCATGAATGATGACACCTGCCGCTACATACGAGGTGTTTTCGATGGTGGCAGTCAGAGGACTTTCGTAACTGAAGATCTGTCCAAGCACCTCAAGCTGAAAAGCGTGGGAGCAACTAGAATAGCCTTCAATACTTTCGCAAATACATCGGACCAAGAGGCTAAGAGGCGTCGCATAGTAGAACTACGACTGCGAAGCCAGTTTTCCGACGCGGAAATAGTCTTAACTGCAATAGAGATCCCAAGCATCTGCCAAGACACCGCAGAGACTGCAATGGACGTAGCCTTCGTTGCGTCTTTCAAGAAGCTGGGAAACGATGTTGCCGATGAGCTCCAACATCCATCTATCATAACTAAGAGTGGTATCAGCGTACTTATCGGGTCCGATCAGGTGTGGAAAGTGTTGACCGGCGAATTTTCACGGTGCGAAGGCAACGAATCATTGATCGCACGGAACTCCAAGCTTAAATGGACCTTCCAGGGAAGCACATCGCACTTGGGGTCCCGCCCAACTACTTCACAAATGATGGTGTGCGTGCTAAAAGCCCAAGCTACCGATTCCGACGAGAGTTTGCGCTCCTTTTGGGAACTTGAAAACATAGGAATTACGGAAACGATAAACAAGCCACCTGAAATGAGCACACTATGAGGCATTTTGAGCAAACGATTAGCTTTATAAACGGAAGATATGAAGTGACCCTCCCTTAGAAGGATAATTTCGAGCTTGCAAGCAACAGGCAAGTAGCCGTTACTCAACTGGACAAGCTTGTCAACCGTCTCAACTCCAGAAAAGGACTGCTTGAAACGTATGACCGTACCATAAGGGAGTACTTGAGGGCAGGACACGCAGAAGTAGTCAGTGACGTACCTCCAGAGGTGACGAAATATATTACATGCCGCACAAGGAAGTCATGCGTGAACAAGCACTGACGACGAAAATGAGAGTGGTGTTTGACGCTTCGTCACATGCGAAAGGATGCAAGTCCCTAATGACTGCCTTCAAAAGGGTGACAACTTATACCAAGACCTCGTGCAAATTCTGCTACGCTTCAGAACGCACCCGGTGGCAGTTATCGCGGACACAGAAAAGGCATTCCTTCAAATTGCGATTCAAGAGGACGACAGAGACGCTTTCCGCTTTCTCTGGTTTGCAGAAGGAGATTTATCCAAGGACAAGCTGCAAGAGTGGAGGTTGACACGAGTGCCTTTTGGAGCTACATGTAGCCCATTTTTGCTGACAGCTACTATTCTCTACCACGTGAAAAAGCACCGGCTGTCATGGCACAAACAGCGCAAACTCTTGCCGAGTCGTTTTACGTGGATGACTTAGTCACTGGTGCCGACACAGAAGAGGAAGCCGCTAAACTATGCCGAGAAGCACGCACATTAATGAAATCGGCCGGCATGACATTGCGAAAATGGACAACAAATTCAGCAAATTTGATGCGCACGCTTGAAAATCAAGTGGAATCTACTAGTAATGAGATGGTCGTTCTTCACGAAACGTCGGTCAAGGTGCTGGGTTTGGTTTGGAATCCTGCAAAGGATGAATTCAACTTTTCGGTTGAAAATCTACTCCGGTTTTTGACAGCACAGACGGGTACAAAAGATTTGTCTTGCAGTCAGCATCAAGAATATTTGACCCGTTGGGATTTGTAGGACCATATACTATTGCCATACGAATATTGTTTCAGAGACTGTGGATACGAGGAATTGGTTGGGATGAAGTACTACCTAATGACCTGCCAAAAGAATGGAATGATTGGGTCATCCAGCTGCCGCAACTGCAAGACGTCGTCGTTCCTCGCTATGTGGGCGGCGGAGCAAGGAAGACAAATGTGCTTCAAGTACATGTTTTCTGCGATGCCAGTCCAGCGACATACGGAACAGCGATATACGTCGTATCAAGTACTGAGGAGCCAATACTGTTGATTGCGAAGTCCCGTGTAGCACCCATTAAGGAGACAACGCTGCCGCGATTGGAGCTGCTGGCTGCCTTAATCGGCTCAAGAATGTTGGCATACGTGAAAAGGGCTTTGAGGAATGTTCAAGTTGACTACACGATGTGGACAGATTCCGCCATTGTGTTGTCATGGATAAAAGGTGACGTCAAAAAGTGGAAACAGTTCATAGCCAAGAGAGTCAATGAAATTAGGTGCACTACAGATCCATCAAAGTGGAGATACTGTCCTGGAACGGACAACCCGGCTGACCTACTCACACGTGGCGCGACGCTTGAAAGACTGCTGTGCAGCTCAAAATGATGGCATGGTCCCGAGTGGCTAACTAAACCGATGTCTGAATGGCCCCTACAGTTCTGTGAACTAGACATAGCGGAAACCACCCAAGGTGAAGTTACAACAGTCCACGTCGCACTAATGACACGCTTCTCAGTTCCGATAATTGATATTCAACGGTACAGCAGGCTTCAACAGCTACTCAGAGTCACTGCGTGGATTTTCAGATTTACTGACCGATGCAGAAAAAGAAGTAATCATACAGGACATCTCGTGGCAACAGAATTCCTGAATGCTGAACGGTATTGGATAAGATGTACACAAGCAAGGCTTTCTTGAAGAACTCACCACTTTGACCAACGGCCAACCAGTCGAGTCTACATCTCGAATCGCTGAACAACGCCCTTACATAGACAAAGACGGAATTCTTCGGGTTGGAGGCCGTTTATCTCTCATGCATTCCACACAAGATGTCAAGCACCCAATCATAATGCCGTCAAGTCCCCACTTTTTGACACTTTTGGCAAATAGAGCCCATCTTCAAGTCTTACATGGAGGAGTTAGAGATACACTTACGCAGCTTCGGG